CAGTGCTTTTGCAAGCTGAGAAAGATGGGTCCTTCAACCAAGGAGGGGCTGAAGTCTCTAGAACTGAATATTGGTGAGAGACTTGCTTACATAAAGATCTTTCACCTAAGAAGACAAGGGAAGCGAGCACCTTATACTTCTGTGGAAAGTCCTGATGGAGGGAAAGTCAGCCATTGCTGGGAAGAAGGAAGATAGGTGAGAGAAACCATCACAAAGCCTGTGTCTTGCTAGGTTAAGTTTTAGACTTTTAGATGATTTTCACTTTTATTTGCTTGTAACCTTTTAAGAACATAGGAACAGCCGTACTGGGTCAGACCAAAGATCCATCCAGCCTCAGTATCCTGTCTACTGACAACGGCCAATGCCAGGTGCCCCAGAGGGAGTGAACCTAACAGGTAATGATCAAGTGATCTCTCTCCTGCCGTCCATCACCACCCTCTGACAAACAGAGGCTAGGGACACCATTCCTTACCCATCCTAGCTAATAGCCATTAATGGACTCAACCTCCATGAATTTGTCCAGTTCTCTTTTAAACGCTGTTATAGTCCTAGCCTTCACAACCTCCTCAGGCAAGGAGTTCCACAAGTTGACTGTGCGCTGTATGAAGAAGAACTTCCTTTTATTTGTTTTAAACCTGCTGCCCATTAATTTCATTTGGTGGCCCCTAGTTCTTATATTATGGGAACAAGTAAATAACTTTTCCTTACTCACTTTCTCCACACCACTCATGATTTTATATACCTCTATCATATCCCCCCTTAGTCTCCTCTTTTCCAAGCTGAAAAGTCCTAGCCTCTTTAATCTCTCCTCATATGGGACCTGTTCCAAACCCCTAATCATTTTAGTTGCCCTTCTCTGAACCTTTTCTAATGCCAGTATATCTTTTTTGAGCTGAGGAGACCATATCTGTACGCAGTATTCAAGATGTGGGTGTACCATGGATTTATATAAGGGCAATAAGATATTCTCCGTCTCATTCTCTTTTTAATAATTCCTAACATCCTGTTTGCTTTTTTGACTTTTTTCCCTAACTTTATTCCTTCTTACTCAACATTACTTAACCTATGCCCTATTGTTAATAAATTTGTTTTATTTTACTATAAACCAACTCAGTGAGGTGTTTTAAGGGAAGGGTTTACTCACCCCAGTTAAGTTAATAAGTTGTGTCATGTTTTTGTGTCTTTAGAGGAACAAATGAACCATATTATTTCTCTGAACTGTCCAGGACCGGGCCGGACACTTCAGGGCACATGGTTTTGGGAAAATACAGGGTGTGTGTTGGGGTCACCCTGCAAGTAGTAACCAAAGCTGGTTGAAGCCAGTGTGGGGCTATGGCTGTAGACAGGCTGCTGGGGTCAGAGCTGCTGAACCAGGGCTGTTTAGCACACAGACATTTTGGGTGTGACCTGCATGCTGGTAGTGTTGTGAGAGGCCCAGGTTGGGAGCTACAATAGCAAAGAATTGTGAGGCACCCAAGTTACAGGGAAAATGGTGACACAATCCCTCGCTGGTCTGGATTGAATTCCCAAACCCTAATAAGGCCATCACAGTATTTGTCAGTAATAGGTCATGCAAACCCTGTGGCACAGTATAAATAGTATTTTGGCAACAGCTACCTATCAAGATAGTAGCAGAGACTAAAAGAGTTCTGGGTTTTCTTTCTCTTCCCCTCCCTCTTTTCCTGCTTGCTGCAACTCACCAGCTGCCTGTCTTCAGTTGGGATGCTTTCACCTACACAGCTACCTCTCCCCTACTTGGCAGACTGGCAGCAGAAGCAGGCATTTCTAACTCTTCCCCTCTCTCTTCCCTCCCGCCCCCCAGCCACCTGCCCACTTCTATTTGACACAGGCATTGGCAATACAACAAGCAGTGTCTTACTGGGCATTGTAACATGTTTTCTAATCATCTTGACTTCAATAGCAAGCAATTGTTTCTTTGGACTTTGTGTAGACATAACAAACAGTCCAAGGAAAGTGTTTCCCTCTGCCAATTCAGTAGACTCCCAGCCAAGAAGCCCTGGTGGACGGCCTTTCATCCCTGTTTAGAAGAAATTCTGATTAGCAGAAGATGCCATTTAAGTAGCAATGCTATTGTTGGGAGAACTGGAGAGTCCAGCATGTTCTTGGACAGGCACACATCTGAAGTGGTTGTATAAGTGCAAATGATTAGTAATTTGTATTACTTAAAACTTTGATTAATACATCCCTAAAATGTTTAAGCAATGTACTGGCATTTAACATGCTTTCTGTGAGGCAGTATGAAACATTTCAGATGAAAATTTAAACAGAACATCTCTTTACCCACTACCAAATGAGTTCTTACAAAGGTGGTTGTACAGGCATTTTTCTCAAGTGGGGTAATAGGGGGAGGTTGTTCACTGAGCTAAAGTGATACGGTATATTGGACAATATTATGTGAAAATGGTAGACATTTGAACCCAAGCTATAGATTTTACTCTATCTAACATTATTATCCAAAAGCATTATTATATATGAGAGATGTTTACTTATTTTAATAGAGAGGGGGTATGTAGGTGATAACTCTTACGAGCAAGAAATCAAATGAAAAGGATGCAAAATGCAAGGAGGACACACTGGATGCAAAAATAAAACCAAGTTAAGAATCCAAGCAGTTTAATGGTGGTGTAACATGCTTTTTTGCAGGGAATCAGAATACTGGACAGAAACATAGCCGTTTGGCACTCCTCACACCATGTTCTCGCCTCCAGCAGACTCATAGGGTGGCACTCACCAGCTCTGGGTGGGTTCATGTTCAAACCTCCTCTATGAAGAGTAGGGCTGCTAAAACCATGAAAGGTGGAACCTAAACAAATATAGAGGGCCTGATAGAATTTCTTCCTATAGGACAGGTAGCCTGGATCATATTATTCTGAGAAATGTAAATAGATAATTTATAATTGCATATTATCTAAATGAAATAAATTCCATAGCTCATGCCCATTACTTACTACAAATTTATTTATTTTTTACATTTGAAAATATAAAATTATTTAGTTTTCTTGTATTTATAAGAAACAGTGCAAAGGCCCCTAAGCCAAAAAGCTAAAGCATTAACTGAAATGCATGCCTAGATTATTAGTGTTTGTATTGTGGTACCATGATCATTCTTACATCTGGTTCACAACTCTCACAACAACAGTTACAACTCTTGTGGGTAAATAGAACACATGTTTTAAATTGTCACTATATACAAATGTGCTCAGGACAGTCTCAGAAATAGGTGACAAACAGAACCCATGTATTGTATGAATACAGAAGGATTTGACATTTGTGAGAATGTTAAGAGTTCAAATTGTTGCATTGCAACAGAGTCCAAAGTAGGAGGCAGTACCAATGCTCACCACTCTAGAACAGTGTTTCCAGGGTTCCCCAAGGAATGCTGCAAGTGCACCAACCTCGAAGGAAGTACAGCATTTGTTCCTCCTCTGTAGGGGGCCAGCATAACCCAGCCCCCTAGTAATCTCCTTCAGGGGGCTGGTACTACTGTGGGTACTAGCTGGTAGCAGTCTTTGCACTCCTGGACCCAAGGACTCCAGCTACACTCAGACCTTGTGCAAGAACATAAGGAGGAAGGCGACATTCTCTATCTATTATGAGATATTATGCATATAGCGTCTAATCCTGCTGTCCTTATTCAGGCAAACATAAGAATATAAGAATGGCCATACTGGGTCAAACCAATGGTCCATCTTGCCCAGCATCCTGTCTTCTGACAATGACCAGTTCCAGATGCTTCAGAGGAAATGAACAGAACAGGGTACTTTATCAAGTGATCCATCCCATCATCCAGTCGCAGCTTCTGGCAGTTAAAGGTTTACAAATACCCACAGCATGGGGTTGTGTCCCTGACCATCTCGGCTAATAGCCATTGATGGACCTGTCCTCAATGAACTTATCTAATTCTTTTTTGAACCACATTATAGTTCTGATCTTCACAACATCCCATGGCATTGAGTTCCACAGGTTGACTCTGTGTTGTGTCCTGTTGTTTGTTTTAAACCTGCTGCCTATCAATTTAATTGGGTGACCCATGGTTCTCATGTTATGTGAAGGAGTAAATAACACTTCCTTAATTCACTTTCTCCACACCATTTACGATTTTATAGATCTATCATATCCCCGCTTAGTCATCTCTTTTCCAAGCTGAAAAGTCCCAGTCTTTTTAGTCTCTCCTCATAAACGCTCACTGCAGATCATTAGAAGTTTTAGTTGAGTAGGTAACAAGTAAACACTGAGTAAGGACCTCAGGATTTGACTGTCAGCAGAGACCAAAAACAAATAGAAACTTGGATGTGAGAGAAACTGATCTTTTATACAATTTAATAATGAAACAAACACTTGGCTTGGCTACTAAATAATAACTACTATTTTTTAATGATAATTATTTTTCTTTAAATATTGCAGTTGCAAACTGGCCACGTATTTATTTCTGCTACGACCACTAGGAGTGAAATCATGTCCCCACTGAAATCAATGGCAAAACTCCCGTTGACTTCAATGGGGCCAGGATTTCACTCCAAGTATATAGCTAGTAGCCTATTGCCTACTTTACCCATCACTCCCTCCTGTGGAGTTTTATCCCTTGATAAGACACCCATGCACTGTATTCCTGGGTCCCAGTCAGTGGTTCTATAGTGACAGTGTTCATATTTACAGTTCTCTGTCTTGTGAACATCTTCACATTGTAACCACTGTAAATTATTTCACATACTGAACAAATTACCTATAAATATAGAATGTAGAATGCTTCAGAAGTTAATTGAAATAATCAACTTTAACTACATTCTAACAATAAAGTTAAAACAAAATATCAATTTTTCTATACAAAGGAATATTTTTAAATTTATATTACAAGAAATAAATATAAAAAATAGCATAAAAATGCTTAAAGGTGGATATTGTTTTGCTTATTTACAATGCTATAAAATCTGCAACTATAATCTTAAAAATGTTGTAGTAGACAATTTGAAACTAACATTTTGAAAGATAATTTAGAATCTTGTTTAAGTGTAACTTGTAGTTACCTACATTTACAATACTATGTATTGTATTCAGATATACAAATTGTAGTTATACCGAGAAAATAAGAGTCTAAAACCAAACCTTCCTTTAAACCTTGGGGGGGGGGGAAATGGAAAATCAAATTGGAAATTGTGCCAATTGTGATGTAGTATCTGAAGTACCTTGTCAAATAGTAGCAATGACTTTTTAAACAATTATAACTCTCATTATCAACCCAGTACATGACTGCCTCAAGGCTCCAGTACCGTCTATAAAACAAGGATAAGTTTCTGGTCTTCTCACATTATGTAAAATAGTTAAAGTAAAAATCTGTGTTTTACACTGTAAAACAATGTGCTTTGAAAAAAAATCACATTTGCTTAATAAAATGTAGGCTTCCCCTCTTTGAAGTCCTTCGGAGTGAGACACGGGTTTTTTTGTGGTCTGCATCATCCTTCTCATGAAATACGAGCTGTTTTCCTGAAAAGTCATGAAGACACACATCGCCATTCTGTACGTTGAAAGAAACACTGTTCTTCTCACTGGAGACATTACCTGCAAAAATAAAAGCATGGCACAAGTCAGAAATGATTCATAGTGAAAAGTCACCAAAGACATGCATATTTCTTAAAAATTTCAGTGAGTATACTGAGAACATTCATATTTCATTCTTCTTTGCTCCCTGGAATGAGTTTTAAGTAAGGATTTTTCTGTAATTAATTTGTTATATAATAATTTTCACATGTGGCCTGAGGACAGAATTTGACCTAAACTGTATAGATCATTACAGAGAGGGCCAAATCCTTCTCACCTTACTCAGACAATTATCTCCCACTGATATCTTGTCCCCATACTAGTCAAACAATATGTGATATAATTTATATATTGATAGTGTCTAATTCCAAAGCACAAACAAAACAAAAGGGAACCAACTGACTTACACCAAATTGAAAAATATATGTGCTAAATTAGGTAAGTGCAATGTAGCAGTACATAAAATACAGTATAACAAGAAAATTCAAATCAGAATACATCAATTGAGATTAATTACTAAGAACATGGAACCCAGAAAACAATAATTAAAACAATTTTGAATGTAAACTTTAATTTTTAATTTAATGTTTTTTTAAGAGTTTACCTGCTTTGCAAGACAGCTGGAGCACTGAGTTTTACCTCTTTTAAACATGTCTTGTTTGTGGAATTTGCTTTCTTTGAAGCATATGAAATACAGGCCTTGCACAGTATGCATCCAAACCCACATATGCATAGAAAGTTTGAGTGTTTCTGGTGCCACCACAGCTATGAACAAGTATACTTGCACTCACTGTGACTTATCAGCTCAGTGGAGCTTTGAGAAAACTTAAAGGGTTCCAGAATTCCTGAAATTCTAAGAGTCCTAAATCCTTGGGTATGGATCTCTTATCTCTATACATTGCATGCTAGATACTTCAGTTGTATTTTAACTCTTACTCTTTCTTTTGCATTTATTTTATTTTTCTGATAACAAAATCCAACTCTGTAAACACTTCAAAGTAGAGTTTCTGCAGTCCTTTCTTGTAAAGTAGGCCAACTTGAAAGGGCTGTCAGAAGTCAGACATAGCATACATCTGATTGCTAATATTTTATGTAGGCCTTTTAAGGACAGTATTATGTGTTGTATTCAAATGATTTTCAAAGTTCCAGGGTATTTCACCACAGTTACTATAATTGATTTAATTAATATTAAGTCAAAAGAAAATGACGAATGCATTTTAAAACAAGTTTCCTCCATGCATTGTTAGTGAGCCAGAGGAGATGACAAGATATGAAAACAGAACAAAAAAAGGATGTGGGTTGATTGTGATGAAAAATATGATGTTAAGGGAAACAAAAAATGAACAAGCATTTCCTTTGAGACAGAGTGTTTTGTGTTAAGCAAATATTCAGGAATGGGCTCACAAGCAGAAGTTCAGTGCACTTATTTATGGGGGGAACTGTATTCATTAAAGATAAAAAACATTACTATTAGTATGAGTATTGGCAAAACTTTTTTTTTTTAAATTAACACTTACGAATATCTTAATCTGAGGTCATAAATCCAGTGCATGAAAATATCCTTCTGACTAACAAAGGAAAAAGAAATTCACAGTTCTGTTTATTTAAGAAGACATCAGAGACCGGTTCAGTGGCCACAAGATGTGCTTCCATATGAGGGACTGTGGTTTGATCCAGCCAAGACCAGAGCTAGATTAAGACCATCCAGGGGCAGAGGCACAACAGAACACAGGATTCCCCCATTGCTCTGCCCCAAAGAGGCAGGGGCAGCACAATAGGGTTGTATTCTAGTTACCAGGAGTGCCAGCAGTGGGGGCTCAGTATTTAACCCAGGAGACAGGGTTTTTCCTGTTTGAGTGGCTGGGCTTGAACTGCTGCTCTCTTCTCCTCCTACCACATGGCCTTCTGTTGGGGGAGGTTTTAGGTGGAGTATGTCTCTCAGAGCTATTGTTCCAGGCTCCCTACAGACTCAAGCAGATGTCAGTGTATCATTTTCACTTGTGTCATATTTTGATTGTAAAGCACATATCTCCAGGAGCAAGGGCTCTATTGGTTCAGACCTATAATACCTATGCCTTGATCTGGCTCTGATTAGGACTAGATTTGTAAGGTTTTTTCTCATCATTTTAGAAACTGAAGACAGCAAACTATCCAATAGTAATTCTCAAGTCCCTGCAAATCTGCTGGGCTGGTGTTGGATCTGCTAAAGAAAGCTGGAAAAATATACAGGACACAAAACCCAAACATACACAGTTTAATGCACAAAACTGTCAATCACTGAAACACTTATACAAATAAACAGATAAGATAAATGGGAGTTTTATTCCTCTTCATGTCTTGTAATAAAATAAAGGCTGCAAAAACAGGCAGAGGCAGAGAGACTGAAAAACAAAGCTGAGTGATGGGATTTACATGTTCATCTGGGAGCCACCTAGTCTCACAAACTCTGCAAATCTGCAAGAGAAAGGCAGAAGAAGAGACATTAGTGTGAAGTGACAGTATAAAATTGTAAATTAGAGATCCACTAACTAAGCAAAGCCACAGCCTGTATACATCTAAAATTCCAAACTTACCATCTTGGGTCACTCTATCCACCATCAGCATACTCCTGTCCTTCCATCAGCATATTTATCTCTCCTCAGGTACAACTGCCAGATGAGTGGCAGATGAGTGGAAGGAACTGGTTCATCAAAGGGCTTGCCAGGAGGACCCACTGTCTCCAGATGACCCTCCTCCCCCATATCCTAAGAAAAAGGAAGGAAACCATCAGGGCATATGTAATACAGCAGTGGTTCTCAAACTTTTGTACTGGTGACCCCTTTCACATAGCAAGCCTCTGAGTGCAACCCCCCCTGAATTAAAAACACTTTTTAATATATTTAACACTATTATAAATGCTGGAGGCAAAGCGGGGTTTGGGGTGGAGGCTGACAGCTTGCAATTCCCCCATGTAATAACTTTGTGACCCCCTGAGGGGTCACAACCCCCAGTTTGAGAACCTCTGTAATACAGGTTCTAAAGCTTCATCCAACCCCCTCAACAAAACTCTTTTTTGGTATGAGTGGAGGCTGCAGGGGCAGGCTCACAGCATTCAAAACATTCAATTAAAAATTAAGTAAAAATAAGTGGCTTACCTCCATACATGTGTGGCAGTGTCTACCATAAAAGCATTTCAAGTTTCCAAGTGGGTTAGGAAGTGATGGTCCATCACCTCCATCTGCAATGGTGCATCAGCAGGAAGATGATGTACCAACTCAGGACATATGCTGAGATCCTCAGCCTGGACAGAACCTCATTGCAGAAGCAGACCATGGACTCAGTGTCATCTGAGAGGCTAGCATTGAACAGGACAGGGAGATGATCTCAAATCAATGGAATTGCTCACCTATTAAAACCATTGGAGTTTGTCTATAATTCCAAAATACCACTGAGGACCCAAAATCCTCTGCTCTGGAAAGCTGTGCTGGGATTTGTGGCTTAGTTGCCACAATGCACAAATACAGCAAAGGCTTAGGTGAGCATTGTAAGTCTTTCTATTTAATGTAGTTGTAGCTGTGTCAGTCCCAGGATATTACAGAGTCAAGGTGGGTGCGGTAATATCTTTTATTGGACCAACTTCTATTGGTGAGGGACACAAGCTTTCGAGCCACACAGAGCTCTTCTTCAGGTCTGGGGAAGGTACACCTGAAGAAGAGCTATATGTGGCTTGAAAGCTTGTCTCTCTCACCAACAGAAGTTGGTCCAATGAAAGATGTTACCTCACCCACATTGTTTTAATGGCAGTGAGAATTACTGTTTTGTTTTTTACCTGTGAACTGAATTGTCAGGTACCAAGAGCATTAATCCTGCTAGTATCAAACAGTGGAGGAAGGTTTTAGAGAGGGATGGGGCAAAAGGAACTATTTCACAAACTCATTTAATTTGGAAAGCTAATGAGAACATGGCAAAATGCCATTAAGATTCGATCTCCTGAAGTCTCATGATTTCTTCACAACATGTAGCCAGTCTGTGAAGTTCGTCAACTGCACATAAAACAATTTGAGCAATAACAATAGTGCTGAGACTCAGCCCTTGACTGAGGGAAAGAAACACTGGCCTTTGGGCATCCAGGAGTACAGTATTTATGTCTTATAACATATGATGACCTATGTGCTCCACAATGTGGGATAGCCTGAGTCATTACTCTTTTATTTTCAACATGGAAAGAGGAAATGCTGCACCATCAGAGCGCACAACCAGCATGGCCAAAGCATAAGTCGGGGTGGCCAAACTTACTGACCATCTGAGCCATATAAGACAACCTTCAGCAGTTGGAGAGCCAGGGTGCACCTGCCAGGGCTTGGAGCTTCAGCCCCATGGGAGGCACCTGCTGGGGTTCAAGGCTCCAGCCCCATGGGGCTCAGAGCTTCAGCCCTGCAGCATGCCTGCACAGGACTGATGCCCTGAGACCCCTCCCTGCAGGGCACAAGTCCTTAGCCCCAGCACCCTGCTGCAGGGCTGAAGCCCCAGGCTCCCGCCTCCCCCAGTCTGGTAGGTGGAGAATGGGGAGAAATGTGGGGGGGTCTGCCAGCCACACTTCAGCTGTAAAAGAACCACATGCAGCTCACAAGCCATGGTTTGGCCACCCCTGGCATAAGTCATGCTCTCTTTTTTGTGCTGCCATTAGATAAAGATGCAGATTACTTTCAGCCATAAGAGGTTCATTTTTTGTGGGTGCATTCAAATTATGTGCATATCTAATTTTCTCACTAGCCATTCCAATTTGCATCTGAAATGGAGTGACGTGACATTTGAACACCTGCATTTCCATGAGCCAGGAAAGGGGAGAGATGGATAGGGAATGAGTATGTCCACATTGCCTACAGAGAATAACAACTTAATAGGGAGCATTATGTTTGTCCTAAGTGGAAGCTTGCACATTTGTAATGGGGGAGGTTTAGGCTGGATATTAGGGGGAAAAATTTCACTAGGAGGGTGGTGAAGCACTGGAATGGGTTACCTAGGGAGATGGTGGAATCTCCTTCCTTAGAGGTTTTTAAGGTCAGGCTTGACAAAGCCCTGGCTGGGATGATTTAGTTGGGGATTAGTCCTGCTTTGAGCAGGGGGTTGGACTAGATGACCTTCTAAGGTCCCTTCCAACCCTGATATTCTATGATTCTATGAAGCCATGAAGCATTTTGTCCTTAAGCACCATTTCCTGCAACACATAAATACATTTCCATTAGGGAAGATTGGCCATGGAAGTCACAGAAAAAATACTGTAACTGAGCTCCATTACTTACCCAGTAGCCAACAGCTATGCAGCTCTCTGGCTGTGACCTCTTAAGTGAGAAGATTTTATGGCCTCTGTTGTCCCATTCTCCCTTTCTTACTCTGCTTCCCCAGCCTCATAAGGTTACATGTGGATGTCCTGGTAATGCTAGCAGGGGTTCTGCAGATCAAGCCCCCACACACTAATAGCACTCCCAAATGATAGCTTTCATGTTTTTAAAAATTATTTTATTGGATGTCATCACATTTCTTTCATCAGTAGACTGTGTTTTCTTTAAGAGTTGATAGCTATTTTAAAACATTCTTAAAGTTTTCCACTGCTAGTTCTGTCTTCAACTGACAAGCAGGATATAAATAGCACTTCTGCTGGGTATTTGAGTAATGTATACCATTTACAATTTTGCATATAATCACCAGTTCACGTTAAGTATGAGAAGTGAGTATTTTTTAAAAAATGTACTACTATATTACCCTCAACTGGATAATTTTAGTATTATTATTTATAAGACCACACTAAAACATTTTGATTCTGTATTCATAAATAATAATTGGTTCACTGCCCACTTTAAATTGCCATAACAGAGCCTAAAACTGTTTTAAAATAACAAAAGGATATAGTTTGAGAAGTACTCTTTTGCAACATACATACCATTCCCATTTGCGTGTACTGAATAATCATTATTCATTAGCAGTGTGGTGGAATTAGTAGAGTTACTGTTTGATTGTAAGGAATTGGAAGAACTGGATACTCCTTGGTTTACAGTCTGCTTCTTTAAACCATTAGTAGCAGTTCTACTCCAATCTATAGTAGAATAAGTGTTATAGAAAATAGTGCAGTACATTCAAGCACAAATAAATGCAAGAGTACAGTTAATAATGCAATTTAACTTAAATTCTAGCAAAGATCTTTTCCCAGTATTTCAGATAGAAAACTATTCTCATAGGAATTGCATAAAATTCTAGATGTGTAAGAATTTACATTTTCTCTTTTTAATTTTTTAGTTTTAAAAAGTCACTAATCATACTTTTGTGACTGTATGCCCATTTAGAGATTACCAGTAACTGCAACCACAGTACTTCACCTTTGAGTTTAGATTGTGTAAGGGTATGTATAACTTTTCAAATACAATTATGTTACAATAAAAGACCCCCAAAAAATTGTTAGGAAGACACATTATTCTCAAAGCTGCTTCTGACCCTGCTCCCACTGCTATTGCTAAGGCTACCATTGACTTTGAGGAAGCAGATCTTTGGGGACTGATTTAGGTCCCAGTCATACAAAGGACTCCACAAGGCTACAGCCTTATATATATATGCAGAGTCCCAATCAAAATTAATACTTTATACAGCAGTATTTTGCAATTAAATAAAATGCAATCTTTATGCATCAGGAAAATAAAACAAAGTAGTAGATATATCTGGAAATATTGTTATGCTATTTATTGCATAACAATATTTGCTAAGGAGAATGGGGACTTTACACCTGACAGTAATTATATAATTTACAAATGTAGAAAACAGTGTTTAATATTTACCAGAATTTTCAGCCAGCCTGAATTTTCCACAACACAGATATCGTCTCCACTGTTTGCGGACATTTTCCTTTGCTACACAGTAGAAGATAAAAATGAAGAATCCTGCAAAGTACCAAATGTCAGAATATTACTTCAAGCCATAGAATTTTTGCCGTTTTGTAACTTTTTTAAATGGATGTGTCGTTTTTCTTTTGTTTCTTCTCAAGTCAACTGATCCCAATCAAATGATCTCATACTCTTTTGTTCAGCAGAGACACTGATAGTCTAAACAATAGACTGATGCCATTACCTGAAATGCTTTTTCTCATTACACTTGCATGATATGTATTAGATATAAGGAGGATACAGAGTACCAAAAATTCAAATACATCAGGTAACTGAGTTTAAAATATGAAGATCTGTGTGGAGCTGCAAGTTTATTTGAACCTTCAGTACAGAAATCAAGACAAGACAACAACACAACCTCATTATAGCAGTATAATTTCAAATCTGAGGTATAATCAACTGAATTTGGCTTTCTCTACATACTTTGTGGAACTTCTCCATATTTTATTTGGAGTTAATATATTGCTGCTGCTGCTTATGATGGAATCAATAACACTTACAGACCAGTGTTCATGTTGATAGGCCACTGGGGCAAATTTTATTAAACCTAATGCAAATTCAAGGTTACCAGGCAGCTTTTCCGCCCCCCCCGCCCCCGCCGCAGTTACAATTAAGTCATAGTGAAAGCCCACGTGGGCTAACAGCTCATGCTCAAATAACAGTAATTGTAGCCCTCTTCACCACAAATTCAAAGCCACATCTTTTCCTGGAAGGATGCAAATCACACATGTTGGGGTACCTCAAACTGTGCCAGATCACAAATCCACCCGCTTTTCACTGCTTCCCAAACAGAGTGGGACTGTACTTGCTTCCAAACCTTTCACTTTTCAAAGAAAGCGTGTCAGAAATATTTACACTGCCTGCCAGCTACAATGTATCAAAGAAGAATGTGGTTGTGCAATTCTTTAAGTTAGATTTCAGGGAATGGAAAATAAAGGAGAAGCTACAAGTTTGGACTGGAGAAGACAGAGATTAGCATTTTCTGGACCAATTCTCAGGGTAAGTTAGACACCTAACTCCCATTGTGGTCAACAGGAGTTAGGCACCTAGATGCTTTTGAAAATCTGCATCTTTGGGCACTTCAATTTGGCCCTAATGCTCAGATTTTTAATGGTATTTAGATGTTGCTCTGCTCATTGTTGCAAGGCCTAAGGCCCAGATCCTCAAAGATATTTAGACATCTAACTTCCATTGAAATCAGTGGGATTTTCAGATCTGGGCCGAAGTGATTTAGACAGCTAAGTCCCATCTTCAGAAGTGACTTAGGCACTGAGAAGCGTAAGTCACAATGAAAGCCAATGGGAATCAGCCTTCTAAGTGCCTAAGTTACTTTTGAAAATAGGACTCAGCCATCTAAATCACTTATACCTTGCAGTGCTGAGTGGAACAACACCAAATTACCTTTAAAAATCAGGTCCTAAATGCCTAACTGATTTGAAAATGCAACATAGGGTAAAAATTTTCAAAAGCAAATAAATTACGTCAGAACCTAAATGACCCAATAGGTCTTTTGTCCTGTAGCTTTTGTGATTCTATGAATGGATCTTAAGACGACAATTTTCATTACAATGCACTCAAAAAGACAGCACGTCACTTCTGAAAGCATTTGCTTTGCATTAATTTTCTTTAAATGTAATACAACTATTAAGCAGGGTCATCTTCAAGGTAGTTTTATTTTTTATGTTATGTAACAGTAAAGATATAATTTTGGTAAACTCTTGTCCATAATAAAGCATTTCTTAGAACTGAATTATTCATTACATTTTTATACAAAAGGCCATAACAAAGCATAAACTTACCTTGTAACGTGTTAAAGATGGCAAAGAGGTACATAAATATCAGATTTACTGGCCCCCATGCAAAAAAGGCAAATCCCCAAGTAATTCCCAATAAGAATGTGAGGCCTGCCACACTTCTGAGGTCTTGAATACTGGTTTTTCTCTGAGTTCCAAGTTGTTTCTTCTTTTTGATTCGACAAAGCTGAATCAGCACCACTATAAACATGCCAACGTTCAACAGGAATATCATGCAGAAGTATCCCACGACAGTAATATAGAAGGCAATGTTATTGTTGATCCAGCAGCTAGAATACAAAAACAAAGGAGGAAAGATCATATTATCAGACATTCATTATTAGTAATAGGTATTAGGTAAAGAATAGTATTAGGCATGGCTATATTTTGTTGAAAACACATCATCCTGCAATACTCAAGGCCACATACACTGATTCAAGTTTTCATCTGTCTATGTAGGTGTTTATAACAGTGTCTATCATCATCCTATCTGAGTGAATCCCAAGGGTTAAAGCAAATAAATAAATACACCAGTGGATTAGGTTTAGGTTTCCTGTTTCCTTAGGCAATATGGTGTTTTTTGTTTGTTTTGTTTTTTACATTTAGGCTTGCTTTCTTCTACACTCTACCCTTCATCCCCCATCTCCTTTCTTTCTCTCGTCTTGCCTTCACCTTATTTTCATGCTCTAGCTCTATGCCAGTGTTTTGGAGCATACCCTCTTTTGTGACCAGGATCAGAGCCTTGCAAACAGTTTCAGGAAGACTTGACTTAATATATCCTGCAGAGATTTATTCACAGAAGTGTCACTTTCAGGAAAGAAGCTCACATACACACTCACACATCACCATTAGATAAAAGCATTCTGTTAGCATTCACTTTTGAAACATGCCTATCTTTTAACTTACAATTCATCTGGTGAGCCATTAGGAAACTTTCCATATGATCCAAGCCCATAGTTATTTGGTGTTATAGCCAATACAATGCCTACCACTACAAGTGGTACACCTGAAAGATTAGATAATAGTTATAATTCTGAATGAAAGTTTTGTGATGAGACGAAACAACTATATTTTCTTATCAAACCTAGGGCCAGGTTATGAAGGCTGTCGGAGACTGTTATATCAGGATAACTTACTTTGTAAAAAGCAAAATAAACTCGCACACATTTGAAGTTTTAATCTTTCTGAACAAGACTATATATTCTGTGACTTGATCCACTTATATCACTTGCAACCTACGTTAAACTAGCAATATGTGTTGCATCTGCTCTTTGATATCACAGATTTAAGGACATGAAATACAATGGGCTTGATTTTGCCTCTCACACGTGTTTTACACTAGTTTAACTCCATTGTTTTCAGTGCAGTTACTCTTGATTTACAATAATGGGTAAGAGAAGAGAATCAGGCTTAGGGTTTTCTCATCACCTAAGTCGGAGGCACTGTTTTGCTACCTTTTGTTAGAAACAGTAGCAGTCTAGAGGTAGAATATGTAGTTGATATTCTGGAGCAATAACATTAATTTCCCCAATGGAAGAGATTCCATCTGCTTTGGGGGTTGGAAATGGAAATAGTCAAATGTGTAATTGGCTCTCAGACAGCTGCAACTGTAGTTCCAATAGAAACAATTTATTATTCATTTGAATTGCAATAGCACCCACAATATATAGTGTATGCCCCAAGAGAACTTACAATCTGAAAAACTTTGCAACAAGGGGTGAATTCTGCAACATGCTAAAGTCACAGAATAGTGAAGTAAATAGAACTCTGTTATTGATAATGCATCTGAGGATTCTGACAGGCAACAGGTATTTGATACTTGCTTTGTTGTTACTTTTAAATGGTCTTCCATCCAAAATTGTTGTAAAGAAACTATATTTATTTTAGATTCCAAACCCAGAAAAATATACGTACCCCAGCCAACGATACAAAACTTAAGGATGTATTTCCGTACATAGGTATTAAACACTTTGACAAGGGCAAGATACATGTGGAATGCTTCAAGGCCCATCCAAGTGAAGGAAACCAAGAGGAAATAATGAAGAAATACAGCAACTGTGATGCACAGGCCTCGTATGTTATACAGAGCAATCCATGAATCAAGGAGGAAAACTAGGTTGAGTAGAAGTAATGCAGCACACAGTTGAATAAGGATTTTGGAAGGGTAGTCTCTCCGGATTTTCCTAAAAAGAAAATTAGTAAGATGATATAAGCTTTCATCATTCTACGAGTATTACTGTAGATTCCACACTGATTCTGTGTTCTTTGGTCCTTAATGCAGAAGAGCCAATAAGATAAGACATTTTACATATGGTTAAGAAGTATTTATGAATGAAAAGGTTAATATTTGTGACATCACTATTCTTGTTACAACCAGGTTCTAAACTCTTATAAATACAAACATTGTTGCTTAAATTTCAGTTGTCTTAGTTTAATGTTTGTTTAAATATTTTATTACTATTGTCCATATTTTTCTATTTTGTATATTAGGCTTCTTATTGTTGGAGTACTTCACCACAACAACACTCATCACATTCTCTATTATTAGAGGTTAGACTAGGCCTGAAAGCCTTTTTACGGGGTATCTGGAAACCTCGACAGTGGCAAATAATAATCTATAAAAGGATGCTCATAAATCATGCTCAGGGGTTCTCCGTCAAGATGTATAATTGGCCTAATGGACTGAATAAGTGAGACTCTTGTAATGGATAGGTTCTGACAACTTACAGGGAAAGCTAGTGTACTGTAACTGCATTTTATTGCACAAGAACCACACAGTCCAACAGAGGGGTGGGCAAACTTTTTGGCCTGAGGGCCACATCGGGTTTCTGAAATTGTATGGAGGGCCGGTTAGGGGAGGCTGTGCCTCCCCAAACAGCCAGGCGTGGCCCGGCCCCCGCCCTCTATCCAACCCCCCCTGCTTCTCACCCCCTGACAGCCCCCTGGGACTCCTGCTGGCCCCCTGGGGCCCCTGTCCCATCCAACCACCCCTTCTTCCTGTCCCCTGACTGCCCCCAGAATCCCAGCTCCTGAATGCCCCCCCATCTAACCCCCCTTCCTGAATGCTGCCCCCATTCAACCCCCGTTCCACGCCCTCTGACTGCCCCGCCCCCTATCCACACCCCCGCCCCCTGACCACCACCCCGAACTCCCCTGCCCTCTATCCAACCCCCCCTCTCCCTGCCCCCTTACTGCGCTGCCTGGAGAACAGGTGGCTGGCGGCACCACAGCCGCACCACCCAGTGCACCAGGACAAGCAACCATGCCGCCCGGCTGTAGCCAGCCACGCTACCGCGCAGCACAGAGCACCAGGTCAAGCCGTAACTCTACAAGAGCCTCGCCACCCAGAGAATTGTGCCGGTGGTGCGGCGAGCTGAGGCTGTGGGGAAGGGGGAACAGCGGGGGAGGGACCGGGGGCCAGCCTCCCCGGCCTGGAGCTCAGGGGCCAGGCAGGAGGGTCCTGTGGGCCATAATTTGCCCACCTTTGGTCTAACAACATGTTAATATTTTGGAAATGTATTGTGCATATATGTACCTTATTTTTAAAAGATTCCTTGTACATTCCACTTTATTAGGACAATTTGTAGTAACCCCTTCCCAGCTCCTTGGCTTCCAGCTATACAAAACTGCATGATACATTATTTTATTTATAAGATACTCTTCCCTGGTGAGAATCAAATCTTGATATACACCCCTTAAAGTGTACCCATTCTGTGTACTACTATTGAGGTAGAAATGAAACTTACTAGAAAAAATAGCAACTAACCTCTGCATAACTGTTGTTCTTCGAGATGTGTTACACGTCCATTCCAAGGTAGGTGTGTGTACGCCCCGAGCACAGTCACGAGAAATTTTTCCCTCAGTGGTAGTGGTACCTGCAGAGTGGCTCTGGCACCCTCTGGTGCCGTGCATTCGTAGCGCCAGTATGAAGGGCCCAGACGACACCGTCCCCCCCACCAGTTCCTTCTATCCAGCCAACTCCGAAAAAGAGGGGTAGGATGGTGGGGGTTATGGAATGGACATGTGCAACACATCTCGAAGAACAACAGTTACAGAAAGGTTATTAAATTATTTTTCTTCTTTGAGTGAGTGCACATGTCCATTCCAATGTAAGGATGTAGATGAATCCCAAGCAGTTGCATAGGAGGTGGGATCAGAGTTCATGGACATGCTGACCGTAAAACAGCTCGACCGAAACAGGCATCATCCCTAGCCTGTTGAGTAAAGGTGTAATGACTAGAGAACGTATGCACTGACATCCAAGTTGCCGCTCTGCAGATGTCCTGAATAGGGACGTGAACCAAGAATGCTGATGATGATGCTTGCGCTCTCGTGGAGTGGGCAGTCAGGATAGCTGGTGGTGGAACACCCACCTGCTCATAACACGTACAAATGCACGATGTAATCCACGATAAAAGTCTCTAAGCCGAGATAGGGAGACCTTTCTTCCTTTCCGCAATCGCTACAATGAGTTGGGTGGATCTACGGAACGATTTAGTCCTCTCTGTGTAGAACACTATGGCAATCTAATGTCCAGAGTGTGAAGATGTTGCTCCTCCCTACTCACATGTGGCTTTGAGGAGAAAACAGGTAGGAAAATTGCCTGATTGCTATGAAACTGGGAAACCACCTTCAGGAGGAAGCTGGGATGAGGACGCAATTGCACCTTATCCTTAAAGAAAACCACGTATGGAGGCTCCAACGTGAGGGTGCAGATCTCCAAGACTTTTCTGGCCGAAGTAATGGCCACTAAGAAAGCCACCTTCCATGAAAGGTATGACAAGGCACATGTTTCCAATGGCTCAAATGGGAAACCCATAAGTTTTGATAAGACCAGGTTTAAGTTCTATGGAGGGACAGGTTCCTGTACTTGGGGGTATAGTCTTTCCAGGCCCTTGATGAAATGGATGGACATCTCATGAAAAAACGAACCAGCTTTCCACCGGGGGTGAAATGATGAAATCGTTGCAAGGTGGACATTAATTGAGGAAATTGTTAAATCTTGCTGTTTCAAGCATAGCAAATAGTCGAGCATGTCCTGCAGAGACAACTTTGTGGGTGAGACTCCCTGCTGGGAAGCCCATATGGAGAACCGCCTCCATTTTGAGAGGTACATAGCCCTGGTGGAGGGCAAGCCAGCTCTCCAGGACATACCCACAGAGCTTCCAGGCCAACAGTGGAGGGAGCTGAGGTTCGAGTGGAGCAGACGACTGTGGTCCAGGGAGATCAGGTCCAGATATAGAGGGAGTGGAATTGGAGCAGCCACTGAAAGGCCTAGCAGTGTGGCGAACCAGTGCTGACGGGGCCAAGGTGGGGCTATAAGAATGACCCATGCCCAATCCCGCTTGATTTTTAGCTGAACCTTGTACACGAGCAGGATAGAGGGGAAAGCGTAGAACAGGTGAACTGTCCATGGGAGCAAAAAGGCATCTGTGAGCAAACCTGGGCTGTGGCCTCGCAGGGAGCAAAACTTAAACCCAGTTGCAGACAGGTCTATCTGGGGAGTCCTCCAACACAGGGAAGCATCCCTCATGATGTCCAGGAAAAGGGACCACTTATGATGATTGGAGGCTGTTGAGGCAATCTGCCAGTTCGTTCTGCACTCCCGGAAGGTGAGAAGCCTCAAGAAAAATTATGTGGCCTATGCAGAACTCCTATAAGTGAATTGCTTCCTGATACAGGGTGAGTAGGGGGAGGAAGAGCGAGCCCTTCCCTTCTTGTTGAGATTGAACACAGCTGCAGTGTTGTCCATAAGCACCAGGACACTCCTGCCCGAAATGTCCGGATCAGGTGCTGCCCGATGGGACGGATGTGCTCTTCTCTCAGAGGCCACCAAGAATGAGCATCCCGAATGGGGCCCCACCATCAAGGGCAATGCCCATGGGTTCCAAAAGGTCCATTGCATTGGCATAGGTAAGTGATCATTAGGCCAAGCACTCAATGGCACTCCTGTGCTGTGGTCCATGGCAGGGCAAGGATGACTGGAGGGGTAACAGGGGTGACTCCTCTGCTGAGAGGAGTACGGCCCAACCTCCAATTCCAACGATGAGCTTCCCTCTGGGGACCATGGAGGTGCGGTTCTCACCAGTGCTGGATATCAGTGCCAAGGTGAGGAAGCTTGCGTTGGTTTTCTTCTAGACGGTACCGTAGGGTCCAGAACCAAGCAGCCACTGGGGGCTACGTGCTCTCTCCTGGCCGCCAGCACCAACAACAATGGTTCCTGTACTGCCGGTAACAGCGGTACGGAGAGCACTAGCAGATCTCTGGCAGCAGCAAACGCCTCCGGTGTAGACAGCACCTCAGTGGCGCCGGTGCCGCGCTGTCCCTCGCGTGCCGATGGTTCGTCCAGTAACAGACTCAACGGTACACACATAAGGCCTGGAGTCAACAGTTCTGACTGACGCCAAGACAGAGGAGTGGCCTGACTTAGGTTGCACTCTGCTCTGCTTTCCATGCCTGGCCTTCTTAGGATTCGGGGAACATCCCCTCTTGGCTGGCTGCCCCGTGTGCCTCTTCCTCGGCAACAAGGCTAGCACACAGTGCCGGGACTCCCACACCATAGGAGAAGCGCTCCTTAGTGACGCTGAGGTGCTCGGTGCCGAGTTCAACCATCTCAGCTCAGAGGAAGGTCTCAGTGCTGCCTCCATTAGGCGAAACTTCAATTTAGCCTGCCAGTCCTTCTTGGTATGGGGTTTAAAGTCCCTGCAAATTTGGCACCAGTCCCCAACGTGAGCCTCACCCAACCACTTCAAACAACTCAGGGGCACTGTCTTATTGCAGGCAACACAGGACTTGAAGGGTACGGAGAAAACTCTGCTAACTAACTGGAAACAAACTATATACAACAATCAGAAAGGAAGTCCACTGAAAAGCTTACCGTAGCAAGAGGAACAATTCCAGCGACCATCACAGGCGGTAAGAAGGAACTGAAGGACACAGGGTCAGTTGGGCCCTTTAAACCAGTGCTATGAACACACGGCACCAGACGGCACCAGTGCCACCCTGACGGGTACTATGGAGAAAGAAATTTCTGGCGACTGTTCTTGGGGCATACACACACCTACATTGGAATGGACATGTGCAATCACTTGAAGAAGAAAGGACTCATCCATTGTCCTTCAGGGCGGTGGTTATGGACAATCATGGTCAAGTTTATAATGTAAGTTTAACTCTGCAGGTACTTACTCAAAGGCTATGTAGGTTACAAGAGTAACAGAAAGAAAAATTGCAGAAATGCCACAGCCTATATAGGTGATAAAAGTCAGAACCAGTGTCTGGATGGGTGATAAAGGAGAATTTCTGGACAGGTCCTAAAAAGAAAATAGAAATGATCTTTAAGCCCGAACATCTATTCTAAAGTTAAACATTTTTAAATACTAGACAGTATTTGGTCCTGCCATGCGGGTAGGGGACTGGACTCGATGACCTCTTGAGGTCCCTTCCAGTCCTAGAATCTATGAATCTATGAATCCCCTTAGCCCAAGCCCGGCGACCCCAAGTCAGCTGGCACAGGCCAGCTGCGGGTGTCTAACTGCAGTGTAGACATACCCTTAGACTTCATTGGTCATGCCCCCACTTCAACAGACTCATTTGCTTAAAGTTAAGCATGTGCATGAGCACTTTCCTGAATCAGGGATCCAAATGCACCAGTTTGGGATATTATTTATAACTAATTACCAGCAAAACTCCAAAACTTGTGAGGTGGTTGCATGTACAAACGGTTTCATTTGCTCTCCTTTCTTTAACCATGCATCCTTCATATGACCAGCCTCCTTTGCCACCTGTTACAGATAACAAGATTCCATTAAGGATAATATTTACAGTATCTCTTAAAACGATTAACAAAAGTTAACACAGCTGAGATGGCATGGCACTTAGAAATGGTGATATCAAATACTTACCATTTTTATTGAAGTCCCAAAATGCACATCTAACTGTTAAATTATCCTGTTTGAAAAAAATACACACATTTTACTGAATTATAAGTTGATGAGTAAGGCAGTTATGAGTGTAAAATGGACAGAGAAGTAAGGACTGTCTATAGCAATACAACATAATAAGGAAAAGCTATTTCTTCTATGTTAGCCTAAGGTGTACCAGACTGTGGATGGATGAGGACATCTATACAAATGTGGATATACATAACAAACTAAACTTGGCTATATGAGTAGATCTATTGCCCTTAGCTTGTGCAGAAGGATTATTATTGGTGGTAGGAATAGGGGCTTTTCCTAACTACCTGCTGTTTTGTTGTCTGTATGGACAGTGTAGATTGAATTTAAGGTTTTATTTTAATCTTTCCAAGTTTCTCACATCCTAAATATTATCTTAACCTCTTGGACCATGTGACAGAGTGTGAGTCACCTAAGGCTGACTCATCACTCTGTGCACTTTACAAGCGTCCCTACAAGGGCCAAATTCAGATCATTGGTTAAGCACCAGGTAATTAACCAGTTAATAAGATGATTTAGTTCCTCAGCTGAGGACAGTTAAAAAAGAGACAGGCGGAGATAGGAGGGTAAGGCTGAAAGGAAGGGCCAGAGAAGCTTGAGAGGTGAGATCTCTCTTTTCCCTGTGCCTGGGTACTAGGTAAAGGTTTGAGGGACCGCTGCCTTATGCTGTGGGGAACAAACCCTTGCAGAGCACGTTATAAATAAAGCTAGCTATCAGTGTGTGAGAGGACAGTTTGCAGTAACAAATCCAGGGGGAGAGAGTACTGGCCTGTGACAGACCACAGCCCTGCACATCTTACTTGTGGCTTTAAAGGGATTACTCATCTGAATACAAGCTACTCATAAGTGTCTGCAGAATCAAACTCTTAGTTTAGAGGGAATGGAACTTTTCCTCTTAGGATACGTAACATAAGGGCAGAATATGTGATATCTGTAAGTTTGCCTCTGGAAAGGAATTAGGTTTGTTTCTTTTTTTAAAGTTTTTTTGGTCATGTTTTAGTATTGCAATGTTAAAGTTTTAAAAGTGTTGTATTTTTGAGGATCCTAGAACATTGCAGCTAGTAAGTGATATATAATGTTATTATGAACAACAATACTACATTGTTGCATTGGCCTCAACATTTTACCAGTGCAAGTTCTGATTACAGAGAGCTAGCTTTGGGAAAATCCCACACAAGGGACTGGAATCTCTGCCAGTTTCAACCCAGAATGTTTCTTGGGAGACCGGCAGATTTTAATCCATCCATGAACAAGCAGGGGATATCAGCCCCCAAAATGTATAGATTACCCAAATCTGTGTGGATCTAAGGACAACCCCACAGGCCAAGCCAAGGCTATATGCTAAATGCTGTTTCCTGGCTGCATTACCTCGGTGAAAGCCTTGTTGCCAGTGTTTCCCTATTAGCCACAACTGCCTAAACCCCACTCGAGATGTTCATTCATCTAAGGGGGAACAACATAAAATATGCTGGCTGGGTAGGAATTTGATAGAATAGAGAGAAATCCCTAATAACTGCAAATCCATGCTTTGCATAATGTTAATTAATAAACATTATTGGTTCACATGAGATCTGTTGGAAATTTTGAAGCCAATGAACTTAGATGAGAAAACCACAAAAGAACCACAGAGCAACTGAAGCAGCCTGCATATTCAACATAGCATAAGTGCTAAAACAATTCTAAGTGAGTCAGTAAAATGGCATTTTGTAAACTGCTAAAACTTAAGTCATACCTGAATAGGCCTGGTGTTCTGTAGAGTGACAGTAACATTTGCCTTCAAGTCGCTAAGCGTGAGGTTAGCTACACTTGATGATATGACATTACTGATTAGAGAGAGATTCTCGAGTGACGAATCCTGAAACAACAAAAAGGTAACTAAGAGTAGAAAAAAATTAAATACAATAGAGCACACACACACACAATTTCAGTTATTGCAATGATTAGAGCTGGGCAAAAATGTCTGAAATGTTAAAATCTTCTGATTAGAAACGGAATGATTTTTTTGTGAAAATTTATGCTCATTTGCCCCCACCACCCCATTTTTCGATCAGTTCTAACATGGAGTTAAAGAACATTATGAAGGAGCCCTCATGTACAGGGTCCCAAAAAGTTACCTGAAATGGAGTTGTCTTTTCAAAAAAGTTGAATATAATTCTAGAAGCCAGAGGCATATCTTCAGAAGACAAGTTTGTCAGCAATGAGGAAGGCAGTGCAATAGCTCCAACACTATTTATAGGTGCTTGGGTCCCTAGAGCAATCTGAAAATTAAACATAAAAAGGCATAATTTTTGTTGCTAACAGAAGATTAGATTGTGCCTTAGGCTCAATCCTGAATATAGGAGCAGCCTATTGTATAGCTGTGCCACCCCCGGAGCACCATTGGGAAGGAACCATGACTCAGAATCATACTATTTCCCCTCAGTGGCAGAGCCAGGTTTTGCAACTTGTGGGCGGGGGCTGATGGACCATTGGTTGTGGGCTGGAGAGCAAGTCTGCCCATGCACCCCCAGCAACGGTGCTTCCTGTCCCACTGGCCTTGGTCCAGTTCCCCATTCTTGGCATTGAGCCCTAGTGCATGTGGTTGCAGGACCATTCAGGTTCGGCCCAGCCACCCACCTGTTGTGATGGAAGGGTGGCCAAGCCAAATTTGAGTGAATGGCATTGTAACATGGTACGTGGGGTTGCAGCACTACCCCACCCAATGAGTCATGTTGCAATGCCCAGAGCAGGGAGCTGGGCCAAGCCCTGCAGACCAGGAGCTGCTGCTGCCAGGTGCACGTGGGACAGGCTCACTCTCCAGCCCCATATGAAAATTCATGTTGCACACCTCGCCTCCCTATTAGCTGCATCCCCTGCTCTTCTTTAGCTCCAGGGGAGAAATAATTTACCTCCGCTCTTGCACCCAGCTATGGCTCCATCCATTTGCTCATGAGGACAGAGCATCGGCATTGTGGGTAACCGTGCTTTGCAAAGGACCCAGAGCCATAATCTGGGTAGCTCTAATGTAGGAGCTATGCAGGAGGTGGGGCATTGCACAGCTGCACTGGGGCTAGCAACAATCTATCTCTTAAGGAGTCATTCCAGGGGCTGAGAGAAGAGGGGAAAACAATGTATGCTTTTATAAGAAACACTGAGATGGTAAGGAGGGGGGAGTTGGGAAACAGACATATAGTTCCGCATATATTTTAGCTTATCCAAAGTTGGTGTTTTGTAGCACAGAAATTTACAGAAGTATTTAACTACTTAAATTCCAGACATCAGGAAGCAGGTGGCAGTGATGACAATGTTATTAAAGGTTTACTACAAAATTGTTTTTATTTTTTAAAAGAAATCCCCAAACCCTTTCTGTATGAATCCAAAAGAGCTGTACATAGCCACTGTTTGTAACTGAAGTTTAATACTGCATCTTAAACAAAATTTGAGACAATTATCCCAACTTTAACATCATTTGCTGCCAGACATCTGACACCATAACTAGGAGATGAGATCAAGCCCTAAAGTTAAAGGTCTGCAGATCAGAATTTTGATTTGGCATATTATAAAACTAAGGACATTTTGTAAAATTTGGGTTTAAATCTAGGATCATAATTTGAACTCCTTCAAAATTTGGGTGTCTTCAGAGCTAGGATCTTGGTGTGGGCTCATCTTTAATTATGACTATACAAAGCAAAGGTTTGAAATAATTATTCCTTTTTAAACTGCTTATTTTTATTCCATAGTTTATAGTACTGGTGATGTCATTCATTCTAGCAGGTAAACCAGATAAACTGTAGTTCAGTTTTCTCAAGACCTTAAAGATGTAACATCATACAAACAGGATGTTAACTTTTAGCTAAACTTTTGGGGTACACCTTTAAGATTAAGTATGTTTCAGTCTCGTTAGCTTTCTGAGGTAACTAGTATTGCTAAGATACTGTAGTTGTACAACTTAAAAAAAGAGTCATAGTTTAGAGCTCATGAAAGGTGTTAGACTCTCAGAACTCCAGACAGAAGTCATATGTATAATCAAAAGAACAGTCACAGCCGAGAAACAGCAGCGCAAGCTTCCCAGCAATGCCCTAACAATGTGCATCAGTCCTGCCCTGGAGGTCAGGGAGGGGTAACTTCTAAGTGTGCAAGGGTAGTTCAAACTCCAGAACCCAGTCTCTCACCTCTCAGGCTGTTAGCACCGAGACACCAGCTAAATTTACGAAGGCATTTCCATCACTCTAATCCAGACTAGATACAAATTTGTTGAAAAGCTCTGCATATCTCATTACCAGTCCCCTAAACCTTATAGTACATCATGAGATTTACTTAGCCAAATTACTCCTGAGGGAATTCTTCACCAAAAAATTAAGAATTTATTCACACAATATTCTAAAATTCTGCATATTTTATTGTCCATAAAGAGATATGGAGGCTCCAGCATGGCAGTGGGGAGCACAGGTCACTGGCTGCATAGAGGTGGGAGATCACCCTGCAATGCTCCCTCACTCCTCTGGACATGGACTGGGCAGTGAGGCTGCACCTAACCCTGACACAGTGCAAGGGCCAGGCCTGCCCCAGAAACATCCTGGGGCCCTGCCCCTCCATGCCATATGCACCAAGATAGCAAGCGAGAGGGACAAAGTCTCACACGCCCAGCCTTGGCCCCTGACCTAGGTGTGGGGCAGGCAGGCTCAGCCTGGCACAATCTAAGTGTGGAGGGGCTTAATGTGGGGTGAGAGGGTTCTGTGTGGGGCAATCTGGGTGCAGATGGCTTGGTGGGCAGTCCGGGTGCGGAGTGGATCTGGATGCACAGGGGCTCATTAAGGGGTTCCAGATGCAGGGGGAATGGGACTCTGCAGGGGGGATCCAAGTGAAAGTTGTTCAGGCTCAGCAGGGTGTAGGGGGGATGGAGTTTGGTGAGGGAGTCCAGGTGCTGGGGAAGTGGGGCTTGGTGGGGTGGGGGTCTGGGTGCAGCTGGTTGGGGCTCGGTGGGTTGGGGATCTGGGTGTGGAGGGCTTGTCAGGGTTGTCCAGGTGCAGAGGGATGGGTCCTATCAGGCTGGGAATTCGAGTATGGGGGACTCAGCAGGGGTAGTCTGGGTGCAGAAGGGCTCTGGATGCACAGGGGTTGGGCGGACGGGGGAGTAACTCCCTGTACAGTGTCCCCTCCCTCCGTGGCTGAGGAGCATTGGGCCAGGAAGCAGAAGGGGGTACAGAGCTTCCTGCAGCCATGGGTGGGTCTGACGCAGCCCTGGCCACTCCTTGCAGGGAAAGAGGAAGTCCCGTCCTCCCCAGCCCAGCCTGGACTAGCAGCTGAGCCCAGCGCAGGGTAGAAACTATTCACTGGGGCATCCCAGCTCTGCCCCCCTTTCTGGTGATTTACCTCTCCACCAGCTGCTCCAGGCACCCAAAATGATGCACCTGCGCTGCTGGGGAGGAGCTCATGACCGCTCTTGCAGCTTCCCTTTGCTTCCCCATCATTTTCTGTGGAGAAGCAAAAAAATCTGGGGGGACACATGAATTCTGTGCAGGCACAGTGGTGCAGAATTCCTCCAGGAGTAGCAAATGTCAAGTTTCCACTACTACCTCCTTCCTAGTCTCACCAGACACTTATACTTCACACATTCTTAGGAAAACAAAACAGAACTTAGATCTTGCGGTTATTTCACATTATTTATAATCTAGAAGGATATAAGTACCACTTATTGCTCAAATCAGACTGTGTTACCAACTTGCCTGGGAAGACCAACAGTGCTCTAATATTTGTTGAGAACTTTTGATCTCTCACAGAAAAAGCCTTAATGGTTTGTAGTGTGCCCTTCAGAATTATCCCAAAATCAGGGGGTGAAAAGGCTTTCAAGTGAGAAAGCGGTGTTAAACCTTTCCAAGCACTTTTTTCTTGGCAAGGCCAACTGACTGTGAGTGGCAAATATATATGAAATTCATCAACTAAGCAACTTAATAGCTCTTTTCCAGGCAGCCAATGTAATTCTAATACCACTTCTGACAGGTGAGGCCATCTGGCAAAACTCCTTGAAATTCTTCAATGCTCTGGGAGTGGGTGATTAAACTATTCATGATTTTAGGCTGCTGGAGTAGGGGGATGTTTTGCCAAATCCTTCTGGTGTTCTGCCTGTTCCCTTACTAACAGCTTGTTAGTGAAATATCAGCTTCTGCTAGGACAGTAGCTTACACCCTTCTTATCGATACAGAATTTTTCTCCTATAAGTCTTAGTGGAAGAATTTAAAAAAAAATCTTTTGAAGACTTCAAAAGCAAACTAGTTAATAAAGATCCTCTGATTACAGCAGACACGCCTAACAAATATCCTATGGCAGATCTGGATTTCAGATTCTCTTGATTAAATCTCTCTATTTTTCAATATAACAAATGCCCTTTATCCACAAAGAGTCTGCATTTAAATGTTTAAGGATTAAAATCATAGGTGACTTTACCTGAAGATCTGATGAATCTTGGACAGCGAATGACATTTTGCTGAAGTTGCTGCTGTGGACTTTGGTGACTGCTAGAGCCAAGGCCGGGGAGGTAAAATTAATGGATTCTGTTGAAAAGTTCAGTTTTAAGCCAATGGCATCCACTATTTTTATTATTCTGTTAAGACAAAATATGCTTAGTATTACAATGCGCCTATCGCTTCATTTTCAAGCGGTTGTGAAACAGCAAGCCAAGCATATTCTGAAAACAATCACAGCTTTTCTCTGATCTCTCTTATGCCAATGTAAATAAGAAGGAACTCCACTGAAGGCCATGGAGTTACATCAGTGTAAAACCAGTGGAATCAGAATCATGCCTCTGATATAAAATTTCAGTGTGGGCGAGGAAAAAAAGTGCAGGCTGATAGTTTGCCCATCATTCGAGGAGCTACCTATAATGTATCACTTTACCAAGATGACAAACACAACATTCAGTTCATCTGTTTACAAAAATGCATACCTTTTAGACATTGAGGATTGTAATGGAGCATTTAGGAGATCGCTAATTGTGTTGACCATCTCTTTTGCAACTTTTGGCTCTATTTTCTGGGCTGACAGAGCACTTTCCATTTTGGATATTATGCTCTCAACTTCAGAGGGATTAATCGTGGTATGTGTGATATTTGACAGATTATCCAAAATGTTTCCTATGGCAGAAGAAAAATAGTGTACATTAATTGAAAACCATCAGAATATTGTATATGTCAAAGGGAATAAACCTGAGGAGAAAAATGAGCCATTATGTGAAGGCTACCATCTAGGCCAGTGGTCACCAACCTGTCGATTGCGATCGACTGGTCAATCCTGGAGACTCTCCTAGTTGATCATGATCTCTGGCCGTGGCAGCGTAGCGGGGCTGCCTGCCACTAAGGCAGGCTCCTTGCCTGCTCTGGCCCCATGTCACTCCCGGAAGCGGCCAGCACGCCCCAGCAGCCCTGCAGGGCGGAGGGGGCAGGGGTCTCTTTGCGCTGCTCCTGCCCAGAAGCACCGCCTCCGCAGCTCCCATTGGCCAGGAATGGGGAGCGGTGGCTAATGGGAGCTGTGGGGGCAATGCCTGCAGAAAGGGGCAGTGCGCGGAGCCATGTGTCCCCTCCAGGGGCCACAAGGGCGCATTGGTCCCTTCTGGGACCGGCATGGCCATGTGGTGCACTACTGGCTGGCAGGGTGGGACGGTGGCCTGGCTCATGATGGGGAGGAGGTGCCAATGTGCCTGAGTGGGGCTGGGGCAGACAGGGAGCCTGCCTTACCCCTCTGCACCGCCGATTGGGAGCAACCCAAGGTAAGTGCCCCCCGGTGGGAGCCCGTGCCCCAACCCCCAGCCCTGAGCCCCCTCCCAGAGCCAGCATCCCATACCCCCTCCTGCACCCCAACCCACTGCCCCAGGCTCAGCCTGGAGCCCCCTCCCACACCGTGAATCCCTCGGCCCAAGCCCAGAGCCTGCACCCCCTCCTGAACCCCAATCCCCTGCCCCAGCCCAGTGAAAGTGAGTGAGGGTGGGGGAGAGTGAGTGACAGAGAAAAAGGGGGGTGGAGTGAGCGGGGTGGGGTTTCGGGGAAGGGACAGGGCCTTAGGGAAGGGGCGGGGTAGATTCTGGGTTGCCCTTAAATTCAGAAAGTGATCTTGGGTGTAAAAAGGTTAGAGACCACTGATCTAGGCTGATATACCAGGGATTGAACCCATAGACCTCCAGAATTAACTGCATGAGTTATTAAGGATTGAATTAAAGAGACTAGGCTCCAGAGCTAAGGCTATAACAGATTAGTATTCTCTGCAGACTGGCACAGAGGCAGACTTATAACACACACTTACTGGTGGGTTACTGTGAAGGGGTGGACTACGTCTGGAGACCCTGCTGGAGGCTGCATAGCCCTGCCTCGCCTAGCCCCAGAAAAGAGCAGAAGAGAAGTCCTCTAAGCAGCCTACAATGGCTGCAGGGGAAGCAGCCAATCAGAGGAGCTGCTGGAGTGGCCAGTCAGAGCCCAGGAGGGCCATATAAAAAGCGGCAGCAGAAACAGAACAGTCAGTTGCTGCCTGGAGTGGGAAGAGAGCTGACCATTTTCCTAGCTGGCTGGAAGAGCAGCAGGACCATGGACAGCTCAGTGTGGCAGGGAATGGGGGAAATAGGAAGATGCTCCTGGCTGGCTGTGGGGACTAAGCAAATACTGAGACTAGGGAGGGCTCCAGGAAGACAATGTCTTTGGGGAGGAAGCCCAGGGGGTATGCCCTATACTAGGGCCCGGACAATTTAAAGACTGTATACCCTGAAAGGGGTTTGTTCTATTCCACAGTGTGTGACTAGGCCAGAAGGCTGATTCATTGAAGACCTGCCAAAGATACAGAGACGAGGCAGATGAGGTAATATTGTTTATTGGATCAACTTCTCTTGGACAAAGAGACAAGCTTCCGAGCTTACACAGAGTTCTTCAGGTCAGAAGAGCAGCTCTGTGTAAGCTCAAAAGCTTGTATCTTTTTCCAACAGAAGTTGGTCCAATTAAAGATATTACCTCACCCAGCTTGTTTTCACACAGCAAGCCTAGCCCAGAAGGTGGATGTTCATCACTAATTAAATCACTGTGGAATTATACTATTCACATATATAAAGAAGATTAAAATTCAGCACCGGTGTAAATGGACCCTGTTTTGTTTAAACTAGTCTCTAATTTTCAGCCTGCTAATTCTAATTTTATATCCTTAAATTGAGAGCTATTGTTAGAAAACATGCATTAACTGGTAAAATATTTATAGTTATGGTATAATCTTGGCTGCCCTACATGTAAGGAGGACTGGCTGGAGAGAAAGAAGGCAGGAGGCACTCTGCCTAGTCTGAAGGGCTGACAAACTTCAAACTCACTGGAGCAGTGAGACTAGTCAAGGGGAGGACGCATCTCAGGACTTGCTATTTTGAAAAGATCTGTAACTCTCTTGTGCTTGTTAAGAGTAAAGTGACTGTGATTAAGAAATTCCTTGTCTAAGTCTGTGTGTTCCCTGCTTTCCTGCCATGTTGTCCCTGAAGGGGTTAAACTAAGAAGCCACAGTTCCCACAGTTTAGGAGGAATTCTGAAGGAGTGTGTATAAGCAACTTGGGAACTAGGTCTGAGGCAGTGGTTTCATGGTCTGGAGCACCTGGACTGTGGAGTCCCACATCCCAAGAAGGGCTCAGATAAGCAGATGGAGCCTATGTATGTGCCTTAGAGTCCCAGAGCAAGAAACAGTGAGTAGTCCCTGCCCAGACCTATTTGGGTTAGAAGCATTTGAGATCCAGCATTTAGGTCCACTCACAACAGACTGGCATCTGTACAGTGTAGTACTGGGCCAGGTGACAGATGCATCCCTATTTTAAAATGCCAAGTTCCAAAAATATTGATTCCATAAAAAGTGTAACGCTGACATTTATCTATTTTTACTCTTCTACTTTTCTTGTACCAATGTAGAGAGGATCCTTCCATTGAATTCAATGGTCTTTACATCAGGCACAGCTGAGCAGAGGTATAAGGATCCAGAAGATAACACCTTGGTCTGCAGAGCTGTGGGTGAGCTCTGCTACAACACCACCCATCCAGCAATCATAGCAGAACCATGATCAATGTACTATAAACCCCAGGAGACTAAGCACCAAAAGAAGTGCCTTCCACAGAAGACTTGATTGGCTACACCTCTCCATGACCTCTGATTGGTCCAGACTCACCATTTAAGCATAGAGGAAATTCCAGAAAGATGTCTGTGCCACCCTTCAGTACCTGGAGTGCTGCTATAACAGACCCCACTCTCAATTCCCTGCTTCTGACCCTGCCTCTGTTCTTCAGCTCTGCCCTTTTGCTTGACCCTGATCCCTGACTCGAGCTACAGTCTCCGACTACACCTCTGATTCCTGACTGTGGTTCTGACCTTCAGCTTGACTCCTGGTTTCTAACTCCGGCTCTGACCTATGACTCCTGCATTCTGACTCATGGATCCCAACTCCTGCTCCTCCATCAGGCCCTACTCCTGTGCTGACCACTAGACTAGTCTCCTGGTCCTACCCACTAGGCCAGACCGCCCATGTCCTGGTCATGACAAGAGGTGCATTGATCTTCACCAATTGTTTTTAAAAGTGGGCATCAGGGAGAGTACCAGCAGAATGGAAAGACTACATCATAGTATCCCTGTGCAAGGGTAAAGGATCTTGCACTGAGTGTGGCAACTACAGGCTGATCTTACTGCTATCGGTCCCTGGAAAGATCTTTGCTCACATTCTGCTTGGTAGGATGCAGCCACTTTTTAATAGACTTCCACAGCAATCAGGTTTCACTATGGGACTGTCCTTTACCCTCCAGCTGAGATGCACCAAGAATTTAACCACCCACTTCACACGGCATATATTGACATCAATATATGGCTTTTGATCTGGTTGACAGGTCAGCACTTTCATCACAGGTCAGCTTTTGATCTGGTTGACAGGTTCACACTAAAAGGAGCTGGAGTTCCAAGTGCATGATCTTCACACTGGTACCAGTGTGAAAGTGTGCATTGGTTCATGGCTTTCTGCACAATGTCAGCTGTGCAGCAGAGCTGTGTTCTCTCCCTGGCAGCCTTCTGCTGAGCTATTAACTGAATACTAGGATTTCCCACTCCAAACATCGGAATCAAGGTTGGTCAAGCCACGTTCATTGACCAAGATTATGCCTATGATGCTGCCCTATTTGTGGGAAAGCCAGAGAATTTCCACCCTGCCTTCAAAGTTTCCGAGATGCTGCCCACACCATGGAGTTGAATGTCTCATGGCAGAAGACCAACGTCCAGAACCTTGGAGCTGGGCCACCAGAATCCTCAATAAAGATGGGGTCAAGCACCATGGACAGTGCCGATGAGTTCATCTACCTAGGCCACAAGCTGAGTTCAAACTGTCACAGCAAACCAGATGTCCTCTGACAAATAGGTCTCACCACCTCCTACATGAAGTCCATGCCTTGCCTATGGATGCAAAAACATCTCTGCGCTGAGACAAAGTTCAGGATCTATCAAACTTGTGTACTGCCATACTGCTATATCGGTCAGAAACTTGGACTCTCTTACAGGCAGACTTGGAGAGCTAGAGGCATTCCATATGCACTGTCATCACCAAATCCTGAGCATAAAGTGGTTTGACTTGTGCAAAATGCCATAGTCTTGCAGAGATCTGCCCTTCCTCCAGTCATTCACTGTATTCAAAATCAGCATTGCATATTCCTCTGCCATGTCGCCAGGATGGACAAAAATATCCCAGCACACCGTGCTCTCAAACTCTCCATCGACATACAAAGGGGTGTATGCCTGGATTCTACCTGATGTTGCCTGAGGGGCCACCCCAGAGATTCATGGATTCACAGGACTGAGTCAGATCTGGGAACTTCTCTCTACAATGTCTGGTATGATGCCATCAGCCATGGTCACTCTGGCTGGCGCAGTGGTCTTCAGTAGACCAGGCACATTTGATGATATGTCTGGCCTTTAATGACATTTTATTTAACTATTTTCTGGAAGTTTTATCTTTTGACTTCAGTGGGAGTAGGATAAGATCCAGAGTAGGGATTTCAGAGACAACATACTCACACAAATGTAAATATCTAAAAACTCAGAGGATATTCCCACCCAGTTTCAACTTTTTAAGGAGGATCTAGTATTGATGGATAATTTTGCTTTGTTTCCACAAAGCTTTTTTTTTTTTTTATGACCGCAACTGAGAATTCTTTGCCATGACTCCGAATCTCTTTCTTTTAAGGGAAAAAAAGAAGAGAACTATATGAAAGCAGTTGGTAATTTATCTGAAGAATACATTTAGTTGCAGGATTGAAAATATATTCTCTTTTTCCCCCCTCCCATCCCTCTTCTGTTTTTTTTTGCTATGTTTTTTCACTGAAGCATAAAAGCCTCTAAAATCATGAAGACTTATTTTAAATTCAAACTTATTTCAAGACTTTTCTGCCCAGTTCTGTCACTCTTATTTGTTTATTGCATTTTGCCTATCCAATGTGTGGTGCTAGAAACCGGTCACATAGAGCCTTAACTCCTATTGTTATCAATGGGTCTACTTGTAGAGTAAGGCACTAGTCAACATGAGTAAGGGTGGCAGAACCTCTCCCAAAGAGAGTTCTGTACTCTATTAGGTTTGCTTAAGACTCTTAACAGCACAAGGCTCTTTCAGAACTATGTTACTTAAATCAGTTTTGAAACTTTATTAAACAGGTAAGATCTCAGTTCTGTGAGGGGAAAAAAACTCCCTCAGACAAAAAATGCCAATCTATCAGCTTGTCATATTTACCTGTTGTACCGTTGGCCCCGGTAGCTTGGCTATCAGTGGTCGAATGAATACCAGGAGGAGAGAGGATGGTAGGTTCAGTGGAAGGAGCAGAAGACACATTTATAGGTTTGGTTGAAGGAATGGCAGAAGGAACTACAGTAGCAGGTTTGGTTGGAGATGTAGGAAGAGAAATTGTGGTAGATTTGGTGAGAGATGTAGTGAAATGTTTGGTGAAAGGCATAGGAATTCTAACGGTACTTGTAGGAGAAGATGTAGCAGGGGGAATTGTAGTGGTGTGTGTAGGAGAAGGAGTAGCAGGGGAAATTGTAGTAGGTGTGGTGGAATGCGTAGCAATAGGTTTGGTCAAAAGATGATTTGTAGTGTTAGGTCTGGTTGAAAGAGGAGGAGAAAAAACAGTGGTATGTTTGGGGGGATGAATATTATGAGGAGGTTTGTCAATAGAAGTTTTACTGGAAGAAGCAGTAGGAGAAGCTGAAGGGCCAAGTTTGGTAGGGGCATCGCATACAACTGTGACTTGTCCATAACTATAGAAAAATAAAAGAATGGTATGAAAGTTGTGGCAAGCTTAGCATTGTTTATATGTTAAAGAACACAATTTAATAAGGCTTCAGTAAAGGAAACCTTTTAAATAACATCATTACAATATCAGAGGGGTAGCCGTGTTAGTCTGAATCTGTAAAAAGCAACAGAGGGTCCTGTGGCACTTCTGTTAGTCTTAAAGGTGCCACAGGACCCTCTGTTGATCATTACAATAGTGCATCATATCAGATGACTGTGGTACTCTGGCAACAAATATTGTTAATTTGTCACAGTTTGAGGATGCAAATTCTGAATTCTATTTTGTTAAATGTTCACCAGTAATTTAGGTATTGTAATAGCAACACTATGTTGGGTGCCTACTTTGTGGATGATATCTGGACTTTGGACCTTATAGCATGTGGGAAAACCCATGTGAGAGAGCTAAAAGGAGAGGAAAATTCCAATGGCTTTTACTTATGGAGATTCCCTTCCCAATTGTTATGTTGTGGCTGGGGTGTTTGCTAGTGCAACCCAAACTAAAAATCAGAATATTCCTTAAATAGGAAAGGAAGTCTTTGTTATTTATACTTACCATGGCAATAGTTGTAACTCTTCAGCAGTTGAGGGCCAAGATTGCAGAGCTGAACAGAAGCACAGGTCTATGGTGACAAAGACACAAAAAAGCATTATCCTGATTTGTCCAGTAGCATTCATAGCCATTATATACAATTGTTGAAAATCATATTTTGACCATTTAAATTCCATAAAGCATTTTGAGATAGTTTGTCAAGCTTTTTTTCACATTCATAATCATGTAATAAATCAATATAAATATTAGTACACCATTGCATCATTGCAGAGTGGCACAAGCTGTCAGAGACAGTGGAGATGGCTCTTTTGGCATGTTGCAAACAAATGGAGTGTAGAATGCACAACTTCATGACTTGTGATTTTAAAAAAGATAGCATGACCCACTACCATAAAAATACCTGTACTTTATCAAGTAATGTGGCAGCCTGTCCTTCGTTAATATGTTGTACAAACTTAATCAGCAGTTTTTCTAACACAAAATCTCCCCAATAAATACAAACACTAAATACGTTTCCATGTCTGAATATCCAAAATAGGAAACATGGCAGAGAGACACTTCACATATACTGTACCTGCAACTAACTTTAATTAACGCTTTTATTTTAAAAATACATTTGCTTCTTTTTTGTTAAAACATTTACAGGCCATCTTTAAAATTATTATCCTTAGACTGAAGAGGGACACTGTAATAAAAATATATTAAAGACAACTTACCAATTTGGCGTATATCTGCTCTGTCTTTTACACGTGCTATTAAACTGCTTATATTAACAGTCTTGGCCAGCTTTACTATAAACTTACAGACTGATATACTGCAATGAGAAGAAAATTAATTGTAAACAAGAAACAGATTTAACTTTATATGCTGTAGACAGAAATACTGCCAATATCTGAATTCAAGTACCATTTTCCCAACCTATTTTCAAATCTGAGGACTATTATTATGCTAACAACCTATCCTTTTCAATTTAAAAATAGAGAGAACAAAAGTATCACTTTGTGCTGGTTTACTCTCTCCTTGTTCCACAGACACCAACTAAGTCTTAAGGCCAGATTCTCCACTGCACTCAGTTAAGCCAGATAAGTAGGTGAATGAAGACACAACACAGTGACTGAGTTTAAGTGACAGGCTGAAACTTCTGTTTAGCCAAAGTAATCCTGATGAGACCAGTACCCCAAATTTTACCACTCAAAATAAGGGTCCAGTGCAAGAGGTCGTGGCTTTACATCATACAGGGTTGGCGCAATCCATTAGGCGACCTAGGCGGTCGCTTAGGGCGCTACAATTTGGGGGGCAGCGACTGCAGCGGTATTTCGGCGGCGGGACCTTCCGCCGCCTCTGTGGGGGGCGGCATTTCGGGGCGGGACCTTCCGCCGGCTAGGGCGGCAGAAAAGCTGGTGGCGCTCCTGACATCATAACCCCAAACAAGAAATCAGTCAGTTTCTGCCTGATCTCACTGTCATTTGTGGGATCCAACCAGTTGCCCCCCTCATACAAATGAAGGTAGAGACTAGGAATTCTTTGATCTGCACTAGATTTAAGAGACTTCCCTTCTAATCCCCAGCAAAATCAGATTACCCCAGGAGCATGCCAGTCAGCAACTACCCTACCTCATACTGAGCAACAGTGGAAACAATTCAAACGTTCTTCCTCCCAATCCAAGCCTCCCAGAAGATGTGAAAAAGTCAAAATACTCTCAGGACATCAGCCAGTTCTGTCTGGAGGGAAAAATCCTTCCAGATCCCACAGAGGGGCTAGGCCCACAGTACATAAAACAAAATTATGCCACCTTCAAGATACGGTTGCCAACCCTCCAGGATTGTTCTGGAGTCTCCAGAAATTAAAGATTAATCTTTAATTAAAGATTGTCATCTGATGAAACCTCCAGGAATAAGTCCAACCAAAGTTGGCAACCCTACTTCAAGACCAATAACTCGCAGAGAGGGAGGCTAGAAAGTCATTAAGTGCCAGCAAAGATGGTGCCCATGTCTAGGGAAGAAGCATTATAATCCAGGGCTGGGGATATGTGTGGCTGACCAAAAAATGATCAGCTATCCCCCTACTAACTGGCAAATTGGGCGTGGGACAAATGTCCTGTTCTATCTTCAGTGCCATCCCTTCGGTCTTCCTCCCTGCTGGTCTGGTCAAATCCTCTTCTCCACTGAGAAAGGGTGGGCATTTTATGTTGCATGAACAAAGCTGCGGGCAGGCGCGGGGGAGGGGAAGGAACAAAGCTGTCAAGGAGCTAGTTACAGTTCCTTGATCCTCTGCCCTATTACCCACCATGTTGCAGATTAGCCTATCCTGGCAGCTATCCTAACCTGCACTAACTGGCAATGGTCCCTAAAGATGTACTCTAGCCAATCTTCCTCCCTTCTCTGACACTTTGGGGTAAATCCAAAGTGACTTCAATGGGATTATGGATAATGATAATGGATTTGATTCAGGGTCTCTCTGTCCCTGAGTCTGTATACATAGGTCCTCAATCCTGTTTCCATGTATTTCAATTGAGGCAAGATCAGCCCCACATTTGATTTCCTAGTTAGTTTGGCTCAGTTCTACTACATATCCATTTTTTGTACACTATACAGTACAGGGACCTTAGGGGTAAAATTATTATTTAAAACTTTAACATGGCAGACCTTTGGTTTTCTGCAGCACACTCCATAACAGAAGACTGTAAGGAAAAATAAAGTAAAAGTAAAATATTCTTCCAATAGAAAACATGTTTGATCATCAGATACTGAAAATGTCAGAAATAAATAGGAAGTGCACTTTTCCAAATAGCTATAATAACAAATAAGCACACAAATAAAAGTGCTTACCTCACTTAGTTCCTGCAATGTTTTGTTGAATTCTGAAATTCTTTAAAAGCAAAGGTTAACTATAAATGGTGGATTCTACTTACGTTTATAAAGAAGATATTCACAGAAGTTAAAATGGTAGGAACTAAAAGAATGTTAAGATATATAATATTTCTTCAAATGTTCTTTGAAATTTACTTGGCAATGATTTCCTAACATGCTAACTCAAAATCATATTTTAAAACTGTATAATTACTTTAAAGGTGCAAATGTCTAATATTATAGTAAACAGTATTTGTTAACAAAATAATTGGTTGGCATTTTGGATGAAGCCCTGTAATTCCTGTTTGGTACTTGACAATGTCAGAGGAATTTAAGTTTAATCCTCTGTCGTTACACCCATATAAATGTATTTTATTATCAATTCACTTATTTTAAAGTAATTTAATATTGAGCAACAGACAATTTCTGACTTGTGTTCTGCTAACAAGCAAGTATGTGGAACACAATGAGAACTTGTAATTGAAGCAGGGCTTGGGAACAGAAGAGACATACAGGCTTCTTCTGTAAACAAGATCTGTCCCTCAACTATAGAATAAGCACCAACTTGCAAGGGAATTTTTCTGAATTCCAATCTATAGCTTACCACTTCAACCTTGCTCAAACCTATGCCACTCCAACTTTGAATTTGATGCAGTGAAACAGGAAGAGCCAGCAGAGAAAGTCAAAGAGGGGGGAATTTGACCAGAGTAATGGGTTAGGAAAATGATCTTATCAGCTTTGTTTTGCCTAACCAAGAGTTTTGGATGTTTGCAAAGAAAGCAAAGTACATATCTTTGGAATATTATGAAAGAAAACATGGCACCAGAGTCTAAAACAGAACAAGGTGAATGTGACAAATGAATGTAGGCAATCATAAGCACAACATTTCATTTTCTAAGCAGAATGAGACCAAAACTGCGTCAACCATGTTTTTCTGATGAACACCCACATTTGAATTCACAGCTGACAACAAATAAGTGATCAGATATTTCCCCTTTAATCAGCCTGCCAGTACACATGGTGAATTTCACACAACTTCAAGACACTTTGTTATTTTCTTACTAAGGCCCTGATCCTGCAAAGATAGACCCCTGCATCTGTGTGGAGCCCCACTGAAGTTGCAGGATAAAAGTCTAAATAAGGATAGCAAATAATACTATTAGTAAAATATCAAAACACCAATAAATAAAACTAAAACTAAGAATAGTCTAAGCAATGTAAATTTTACCCATGCTGTGAGAAAATACTGAAATTCCTTATGCATTCCTTAAAATATTATTCATTCTAGAATAAATACAGGAATAATGAGAAGTGAAGAACCTGCTGATGATATAACAGTTCTCACTTAATCTTAAATACAAACAGGATTCCACAGAATTGGAAGAGTCAATTTATGATGATAGTTATAAGTTACTTACTTTGATTCTTGTAGAGTAGGTGTTATAAATGGAATTAATTTTGTGACTTTATTGCTGCTGGTTACATCATCAATCTGTTAGAAACACAGATTCAAATAATTAAAAATGATAATTCTTATATCATTTTTTTAAAATGCACATCTTACTCAACCCAACAGTCTGAAATTGCAAAGGTTAAAAGCACTCATCATGAGCACGCTGTAAAACATGTTTTAACAGAAATCTTAACAACTGTGACCCAGGAACCACTGGATGCCAACTGGCAGAGAGCACAGGGGATATATAGGATTTTTCAGGGATCCTCTGGGCCAGATATATGCATGATAGTTCACCGAAGGGTGGCATGTGAGGTGTCTACTGAAAACCAGTAACCCACTGGTATTCATAATCATTGTAAAATCTATGTATGGAGAATATTTAAGGAATTATATAACTATACTGAAAACAATATTCTTAAGGACTTGGAGTTAAGGAAGGTGACCAGGTAGGGGCAGCAGGTGAACCCGCCCTCTGGGGAGGCTAGCCCGCCGGCCCCATCCCTTCCGCCTGAGGCCCCACCTCCCTGATTCCCTCCTCTCCCTGCATCTGGAGCCCCAAGCATTCCACAACCCAAGCTGTGCCGACCAGCCCACCCCAGCTGCTCTGGCCTGCCCCAGCTGGCCCAACCCCTGCCAGCAGGCCCGATACCTGAGCTGCCCCAGGCCACCCTGGCTGGCCTAACCCCCACTGGCCATCCCCAGCCATACTGGCGGGCCTGATCCCCGGGCTGCCCAAGCCATTCCAGCCAACCTGATCCTGGCCAGCCCCACCCAACCCCTGGGCCAGCCCAAGCCATGCCAGCTATGCCAGTCCGAGCTGCCCCAGCTGGCCCGACCCCTGCCGGCTGGCCTGATACCTGAGCTGCCCTGGGCTACCCTGGATGGTCCAACTCCCGCTGGTCACCCTGGGTCACACTGGTGGGCTCGACCCTGGTTGCCCCAGCCCCTAGCTGCTGGCCGAGCCTGAGCTCCAGGCCGCGGCTGGAGCTGAGCCTCTGCTGGCTTTGGGGAGAGCATGGCTTAGCCTTCCCTAGCCGATGATACCCACTGCCCTTCTCACCAGGAGGTGACATACCCCAGAAATTCTCCTTTCAGGCAGGAGGTAACAGACACCTATGGCTCTGTCTGGCCATTTGTCTATTGTACGCCTCCCAGTGTAGGTCTGTTTGCATACTGAGTCACAGGCAAAAGAAGAGACTGTGAAATCTACAAGAGGAAATCTACAGGAATAAATAAACAACAGGGGGTCCTGTTTATGAATAAAGATGAATGATAGGAATGATATATCTCAAAAAACCATACTGAATCTTTCACCGAGAAGGCAAGCTGAAAGCATGCATGTCTCGTGTAAGGAGGGTCATCCAAGCCTGGCTCTAAACCACTGAAGGACTTTGGGTGAGCAATACTTGGTTAGTCTAGAATGTGTTTTATTTTATTTTATATGTAACTATTTGTTTCCAACACGTCTACTTGCTATTACTTGAATCACTATGCTTTGTTAAATAAACTTATACTTGATTTCCCTACAAACTTATCTAACCGCTCTGTACTAAGCGTAGTGGTGATCTGAAGTGGAACTGGTAAGCTGGGGTGTACTGTTTCTTTGGAAGCAGTGGACCAGGGCTGCACACTTCAGGGAGACACTCGAGGGCTGCAGTGTACCATTTGCTAACCTGTAAATTAACAGCGGGGTCTGTGAAGCCTCGTGGGGAGCGCTTGTGCTGTCCATGGTCAGTGGAGAAAGGGAGCTGATACACAACAGGCACAGACAAGACTTCCTCACACTAACAGCAGGTCATGGCAAGGTACATCACAGCCCTGGGTACCCCCGTGAAGCATCACACAAACAACTGATATCTCTATGTTTACTGCACATAGTGGACATTTTGCTGAAATGGACATCGGGCATCTAGTACACTGATATGGTACCAAAGGAACCATTAGCGATTGTAAAGCAAATTGTGATATAAGAGTTAAAAATTTACAAAACATTTTAAAAATCATATTAGGATAAGAATAATTTAAATGGATAGAATGGATAATGGATAAAAAATTCTTAGGACTTACTATTTCAACACTTACTGAAGTATTATTGCTTTTTTCATTGTACTGAAATTTTACATAGCCCATGTAGAAAACTAAATACAAAAAGACAAACAAAGTTAATAATAATGTTCATGGTTAATTGCTTGATTTAGAACCATTTTGAGAACTATACATTTCACTTGTTTTGTATTATGCGAGAAGATAAATAAGAGTATTCTATCTACCTTCTCTGTACCATTCATTATTCTGTATTCTTTTGCCATGCTTATTCATTTCCTCTCTAAACTAAATATTCCCATTATCTTTAGTTTCTCTAGGTCTCTAATAATTTTTGCTGCCCATCTCTGATCACCTTCTATTTCTCCTATATCATTTTCAAGATAGAAAAACTAGACTGCACACACAGTGACCCAGACCTTGATCTGCATAAGGACAGCTTTATACTGCTTCCCCAATTTTAATCTGCTCTATATGTTTCAGGCTGGTATAGGGGGAATCTTCCGGTGGCATACTGATGATGTAGTGACTCCTATAGAATTCCCCACTTGTGACCAGTCAGGGTGTGTCGCTGAAGGGAATAGGGAAGTCTGGGACTGGTCCAGTGTCAATGTAAATTAGAGCAGCTTTTAGGCTCACCATATACAGCTTTCTATGTCATCTTTAGGGCAGCTCTGTACCAGGGGAACGGCTATATTTTCTGTTTCCGTCTAATCCATGATGGTACTTTCCCTCTCACTGCATGACTACATAATTTCCTTAACAAAACCTTTTGATTTTTGAAAGTCCAAATATGTGCCAACAAATACTCCTTTATCCATTCTTTTGTTGACACACTCAAAGTAGATTAGAGAAGTACCCTGCTTGTTTGTCCACTTTCATCTAAGTGTTCTATAAGTATTTTTCTAATCAATCTTTCAGCCTCTGTTCCTGGTACTGAAGTAAAGCCTATTGGTCTGCAATTCCAAGATGACCCTTAGATCCTTTTTAAAAAATGAGTACATTTGTTAACTTTGCTTGGAGTAGCTAATTTTAATGAGAGATTTTATACTTCTAATAGACGCTCAGATATTTCATTCAGAGCTCTTGGATGTACACCAACTGGTCCTTGTCCTTTAATTGATCAGGTTTTCATAGCATCTTTCCTTTTTGACTTCACAACCTTTGAAAAAAGTCACAGCAGACTGTATGTTCTTTGCAGAGAAGCTAAATGATTTCTTTGAATCAGAAGTGATACACACGTCATTTAGTTTCTCTGCAAAGTCCTCACCCTCTTTAATTTCTGTTTTTACTTCCCAATAGTCCAGTGGACCCACCAAGAGGTTTTCTGTTGCCAATATACCTAACAAATCTCTTATTTGTTTTTATGTCTTGGCTTTTCAAAATCCCTCTTAGCTCTCTTAATTATGAGTCTGTCAATTTTAGTTTCCTTAGTTTTAATTTTCATATCGTATTGTCTTGTGTAATACATCTAACTTAGAACCTATTACAGTGCTCCCTCAATACTTACATATGCTTTCTATTGTTTCCTTTTTATCCTTATTTTTAAATATAACACTATTTTACTGTCTGTTTAAAATAACATTAATGATATTATTATAATACAATTTTAAATGAATTCTTTACATTTCCTAAGTTTGATAATGATAGGTACTAGTAGTATATAAACTTTATATTTACATGTGGATGAGAGAAATTATAAATTTAATATTTTCCTTCAGTATGAAACTTGTGAAATACAAACTCAGAAAATATTTTCTTAAATATTATTTTTAATATTGCACATGATTTTGTAAGATAAAGTTACATTTTTTCCCCTTGGTTGGCAACCAGGATATAAGAATTTCAAACCTAGGATATTTTAGAGATTTTATAAAAGTTCTGAATGTATGCCTCACTACTCAGAAGAGATAAATATTTGGAGATGATACATTTAAGAAAAAAACCCCACTAACCTGAATTATTACAGATGGCTGATAAATTATGTAAGTTGTTACCAGATAGTTTTGTTTCTGCAAAAAAATATTAATCCAGTTGAATTCAAATGTAATCTTGTTCAACATATGTATTTAAATATTATGTTTTTAAATGATGAATGTTTATATAAACTTAAATGTCTTCAGGTTTGCAAAATATTTTACATTCTATCTATGCTTTATTGGTGTTTGTAAGGCACCTGTCACCAGGCTATCTAAGCCCCAGTATTCAGATGTAATGTATATCTACCTAAATTGTTCTGTAACTCTTCCCCCAGCATAACTACATAGTATATCTACACACATATACATAAACATACTCTCTCTATATATAATAAAAACATATTTTAGTGTTCACCATTTAAAAAAAGAAAACAAAGCAGCAATTATATTTTCCACAAACTAGTATCTGAGACAATGTGCCACTATTTCCCTATACCTAGAATGGGAAGTTAATTTAGTATCATATTAGATAGACAGACAGACAGATATTATCCAAAGTCAGGTAGAGCAGCTACTTCTCTAAACAATGAAATAAGACGTTCATTTCTATAATCCATATTACAACTTTCCAGGTGCAAAGAGTGAAGAAAAGGGCCATTTATCTGGACAGTTTTGTTGTTAAATATTAAATTAAACAAACATGCATGGTTAAGCTAATTAGGTTAATATACTATGCACTACCATGTAATATAAATCAGCATATTATGAACAGGCTCTTAACATACTACCATGCTCAACCACTATAAAAACTATCATGTGTTTTTGATGGTCTTCCTCTGGCTATTTATTTCACGAACATATGAGATTCAAAAACTATTCTATTTGGTCCGTCCCATTATTTTATCCTATTGTGATATGAATTTTTTTTCTTTCACATGGTAAAATACGATGAGATAACTGGCTCTGTGGATGAGGGGAAAGCAGTGGACGTGTTATTCCTTGACTTTAGCAAAGCTTTTGATACGGTCTCCCACAGTATTCTTGCCAGCAAGTTAAAGAAGTATGGGCTGGATGAATGGACTATAAGGTGGATAGAAAGCTGGCTAGATCGTCGGGCTCAATGGATAGTGATCAATGGCTCCATGTCTAGTTGGCAGCCGGTATCAAGCAGAGTGTCCCAAGAGTCAGTCCTGGGGCCGGTTTTGTTCAATATCTTCATTAATGATCTGGAGGATGGTGTGGATTACATGCTCAGCAAGTTTGCAGATGACACTAAACTGGGAGGAGTGGTAGATATGTTGGAGGATAGGGATAGGATACAGAGGGATCTAGACAAATTAGAGGATTGGGCCAAAAGAAATCTGATGAGGTTCAACAAGGACGAGTGCAGAGTCCTGCACTTAGGATGGAAGAATCCCATGCACTGCTACAGACTAGGGACCGAGTGGCTAGGCAGCAGTTCTGCAGAAAAGGACCTAGGGGTTACAGTGGACGAGAAGCTGGATATGAGTCAACAGTGTGCCCTTGTTGCCAAGAAGGCTAACGGCATTTTCGGCTGTATAAGTTGGAGCATTGCCTGCAGATGGAGGGACGTGATCATTCCCCTCTATTCGGCATTGGTGATGACTCATCTGCAGTACTGTGTCCAGTTTTGGGCCCCACACTACAAGAAGGATGTGGAAAAATTGGAAAGAGTCCAGCGGAGGGCAACAAAAATGATTATGCAGCTGGAGCAGATGATTTATGAGGAGAGACTGAGGGAACTGGGATTATTTAGTCTGCAGAAGAGAAGAATGAGGGGGGATTTGATAGCTGCTTTCAACTACCTTAAAGGGGGTTCCAAAGAAGATGGAGCTAGACTGTTCTCAGTGGTAGCAGATGACAGAACAAGGAGTAATGGTCTCAAGTTGCAGTGAGGGACGTTTAGGTTGGATATTAGGAAAAACTTTTTCACTAGGAGGGTGGTGAAGCACTGGAATGGGTTACCTAGGGAGGTGGTGGAATCGCCTTCCTTAGAGGTTTTTAAGGGCAGGCTTGACGAAGCCCTGGCTGGGATGATTTAGTTGGGGATTGGTCCTGCTTTGAGCAGGGGGTTGGACTAGATGACCTCCTGAGGTCCCTTCCAACCCTGATATTCTATGATTCTATATTTGTATATACAGTAAGTCATATACTTACCATTTTTACAACAACTTATACCTACAAAAAAAAGTAATGATCAGAAATAAAGGTTGCAGTACACATGCAGCTCTGTTGCATAAATCCAATACAGTAGCATTGAAACATACTTCTATTTTATTTGTCCATCAAACAATAATCAGCTCAGCCAATAGCACTGCAAACTTCCACACCCCACTTAGCCAACCTTCCTCAATCCTGTTGTGTAGGCACCCTTCTTGGAGTGAGACTGTAATTCAGTCTTCATTGCCAATCAATTCCTGATTTCTCTGCTGAGATTATCGTCTCATGCCAAATGTGAAGCATGATTTATGTTTTTTGTGCTACACAATAAAAAGGGCTAATATATCTAATGCACTTTTTTTTTTACTTTAGTAGATGGACAGCCATCAGAAGGCAGTGACTTTAGATTGCTCGATGATCCAGTTTTGAACCCTATTAGACAAAAGTAAAAGGTTCTATGCCAGTCCTGCGGGGCACTTTTTAAACATTGTTTGAAGCTCTAATTATTTTATAAACTCACTTCATTATATAGTATTACAAAAATACTAATACATTCAGCTCAGTGTTTAAATTAAAATAAGTTTGCCCCTTACCATTCGTAATGGCAGTAGTTGGTAGAGTAACACTGTCAGTTGCATTGAAGGTTATATTTGCAGATAATTTCCCTAAAAGAAATAAAGGTAACTGAATTTATTAAAATAGTTAACAATATATTAAAAGCAATATATTAGAAAGACTCAGTATAGATCATTTAGATAGTAGCACAAAGCTGACAAGAATGGACTTGTCTCTTTCTCTGTGTTGATACAGTGCCTTAGTGTTCTCAACCAGGGGTACGCATACCCCTGTGGGTACGCAGAGGTCTTCCAGGGTGTACATCAACTCATCTAGATATTTGTCTAGTTTTACAACAGACTACATAAAAAGCACTAGCTAAGTCAGTACAAACTTAATTTCATATAGACAAAATGAGAAAGTAAGCAGTTTTTCAGTAATAGTGTGCTTGTGACACTTCTATATTTTTATGTCTTATTTTGTAAGCAAGTAGTTTTTAAGTGAGGTGAAACTTGGGGATACACAAGACAAATCAGACTCCTGAAGGGGTACAGTAGTCTGAAAAGGTTGAGAAAAAGTTGTGCCTTAGCACAATGAGGCCCTGATCTTGTTTAGAGTCTGTATGTGCTACCACAATGGAAATATTAAATAGTAAGGATACAATAAATGCCATAGAGCAAGTTTAGGGACTATCTACATGCTTTTATGCCTCAACCCTGCAAAAACTGCTGGCCATCATCATTGTGATTTTCTTTTATTCTATGTTCACACTGCGATTCAAATTGTGTCTGACTGAATAGTTTAAAGCCAATGCCTAGCCCACTCAGGCTAACCCAGTCTGTTGGATTCATACATAGGTTAGACGATATTAATTTCCAAACTTGTTTTGAACTCAGTTTTACCTTGTACATTTGATTTGACCAGCTAACACTATGTTTGAAGAGTCAGTTTCTTGAAAAAAAAACGAACTGTTTTTAAATCGAGGATGTCATCCTCAACCAATTTAAAAACATTTAGTTTTTTTTTTTTCAAGAAACATGGTTCCTGGCCCCGCATATCCTACAGCCTTGCCCCTCCACACTCTGATGCCCCAACCACCAGAAATACTGTTTGTGTGCTGCCACTGCAGGTCTGAGCTGCACACCATATTAGAGATGCATAACCCATCATATTGATACTACCCCTTTCACACATAGGTACAGCAGAACCACACGGGTTCTGCGGCCACACAGCACTCTCTTGTTCTGAAAGATTGTTCCATACTTCCTGTTCTACTCTGTGAGATAAATGGATTTGTGCTTTACTGAATCATGGCCTCAGTTCATGCTCCCACTACCTTATCCTAAAGTAGGGATCGGCAACGTTTGGCACGCGGCCCGCCAGGGTAAGCACCCTGGCGGGCCGGGCCAGTTTGTTTACCTGCCGCGTCTGCAGGTTCGGCCGATCACAGCTCCCATTGGCCGCGGTTCGCCGCTCCAGGCCAATGGGGGCGGCGGGAAGGGCGGCCAGCACATCCCTCGGCCCGCGCCACTTCCCACAGCCCCCATTGGCCTGGAGCGGCGAACC